AAGGCTGGTGTGAATGCGACCTAAGATTAATTACATAATAAAAAGCGTTTTGAGAAGAAATAAACAATTTAATATAATGTGTGTTCCTTACAATATGATATTGTTGGGTCAGTATGTAGTCTTTGTACTGTATGGTAAATGTGTTGGTAGAATGAGGGTTGAATAGCCCATTTGATAGACCCCCATTTGATTCAAATGGCCCATTGAGGGCCAGTCACGTGTTTGGCCACCGCACTGTGACGTCGGGTTCCAAAACTGATTCTGTTTCAACTTATTTAATCTCTATGATTGAGTGCATACATTCACTGAACCCATTGTCTAGGCAGGGACACACTATCACATGACCTTTGTCCCAAATCAGGGCCACATACTTTGAAGTGATTAATCATTTCGTCATTGAAAAATATTCAAGCAGAATGTCATATTTCAGTGTCTCCTTAAAATGGAGCCAAAAGTGGGGCCCTAAAACAACTAGACCCCTCAATAAGGGATGTGTGGGAATTGGACCAAATCCTTTGTACCAGTTGAAGTTTAGGTGGTAAATACTCAACTTTTTAAACCTTTTATTGTTTCTGCTTGTTCAGAACACAACTTCATTATACGTAAAGGTAGAGTGCCTCATTTACAAAAGAGCAATAGCTTTAGCCCACTTGCTTTCTTTCCTTTGAAGGCTACATCTTCATATGCTGCATTCTTTGAGTGAATAGCCCTTGAATCTGTACATGGCAATAGTGTTGTCATTGGCATATAACACATGTACCATACTTGGTACATATTCTTATATGCTTCTCAAAAAGACCAATATGTTCTCAATACAATGTTTTTGTCTGAAAACCTTTGTTCCATTTTTCAAACTCCGGACAAAGGAAGCAACAAGCAAAGCAAAGCAAAACATATATAATCTAAACAGCTTCAATGGGAATACAGCTTTTTTCCAAATGGGGAAAGTAAAAACGTTTTTTTTTAAACTCAATGTTATTGTGTTGCATATAATACAAATTCCCACTGTCTGATGGATATTTAACTTGACATTTACTTGTATTTTCCTTATTTTGTAGTTATTGTAACATACTATATATAAGGTTTTATTGGACCTTATTTCACTGCAGCATTTTGATAGCACACTTAATAATGTTCCAGAGGACTTTGTTCCCTGCCAGCAAACATTTATGTGGGGAAATTGTCCAGTGAATATTATTATATTATTAAATCAGTGATGTGAAATGCTGCTGAAACAATGGTGTCATCAAAAAGGCCTTCCCCCTTGTGAAGTAAAGCAACGGCAGCATCTGTGCCGTCAGATAGTCAAGGCTGCCAATAATATGTACACTGTGCATTCATATCTTCAGTGCATATTGTTCTAAAACCAACAATATGAAAAGCTGATGAAGCTGCTGTCATGAAAAAGCCCTTCTCACATTGACATTGCTGCCAACAGTGTTTTTCATTCCCCCCATGTTTCCTTCTTTGGGATCTTCTGTATAATTTAATCAAATGCTTGGTTGGGGATTTTAAAAGCTCTTGTCACTGAGCAACGTTAGCATGAATGTTGTTTCAGTTCACACATATCCCGCTGATGCAGCAACTCTTTGCTGCTTTCATGGATTTTCCCCCACACTTTGTGATTCGCAATCCGCTAACACTTGTAAGACAAGCTTCAATACATGCCCTCTAAATATAGATAATGCCTCTGCTAAAACACAATCAGCTGAAATTCATTTTAGACTTATTAGGGACATTGCATTATAAAAGGAGGTTGTTTTATACGTCATCCTTAAGATCATATTGTAGCTTGAAATGCTAGACCAGCCGGGAAAAGAAGGCACATTTACTATCTCACCCACTGCAAAATGGAGAACGATTAATTGCTATGAGTGGGATTAACTTCCCAAACAAAGCAGTGTACCCCCCCTCCCCTTTTTTTTGTACACTCCATTCTGTAGCCTTTCTTTATTTATTGGAAGTGCTTGTTAATGAATACTTGTGAATTGGCTCTTTCCATAAATGGCAACATGAAAAGCACAAACTTTGGCTAATGGTATGTTAACATACTCTGATGGTGCCATACCAAAGTTCCAAGGATTTCTTTGGTGTTTTCATGAGCTTTAAGTCATCATTTCATAGTCAGGAACCCTAATGTTCCATACCACATCAATAAAAGATGCACTATCTTGAAATGTAAATGAAAGACACATTTCCACGCCTTGATTTGGATACGCTCCAAAATGTTATTTAGTAGAAGAACCCTTCCACCAATTCCATTAAAATCAGGCAAGTAGTTTGTACATTTGCTTGTCAGCATGATAACGACAAGACAAACCAACCTGAAAAGAGATTGATGTTGGTATTGTCCAGCAAATGTACACAGGCAAATATTTGTTCAGCATTTTATCCACCCTTTAAGATTTCCATCTTGTAAGCCAGGGGTTCCCAACCCCCGGTCCGCGGACCGGTCAGGGGTGTAGAGCTATTTGTTTAAGCACTAGATTGGCAAAACAGGAGAGTAAACCAGTCTGCCTTGATCTATGAATTCATGTCCGGGACCTCACGGTATGTGCTGCCCGCAGCTGTTTTATAGAAGGAAAACCTCCTTCACTTCATGAAATGGCTGCAGCATCAGGAGGCAGCGGGACGTATACTCCGCCTCTGAGAAGTGCAGCACCAGCGGGTAAAGATGTGCCTTTTTACGCACCGCCTTCGCTGTGTTTACCTTCATCAGAACAGCGAGTGACATAGGGTGCTACGTGTTAACCACACACACCTCTACACACATCGAACTGCCCGATTACTCCTCCTTTTATGAGTTTTATGAAGGAGATGTCCGGTCACCAAGGCGTGTGTGTGTGTGTGTGTGTGTGTGTGTGTGTGTGTGTGTGTGTGTGTGTGTGTGTGTGTGTGTGTGTGTGTGTGTGTGTGTGTGTGTGTGTGTGTGTGTGTGTGTGTGTGTGTGTGTGTGTGTGTGTGTGTGTGTGTGTGTGTGTGTGTGTGTGGTGTGTGTGTGTGTGTGTGTGTGTGTGTGTGTGTGTGTGTGTGTGTGTGTGTGTGTGTGTGTGTGTGTGTGTGTGTGTGTGTGTGTGTGTGTGTGTGTGTGTGTGTGTGTGTGTGTGTGTGTGTGTGTGTGTGTGTGTGTGTGTGTGTGTGTGTGTGTGTGTGTTCTGCTCTGCTCTGCTCTGCTCTGCTCTGCTCTGCTCTGCTCTGCTCTGCTCTGCTCTGCTCTGCTCTGCTCTGCTCTGCTCTGCTCTGCTCTGCTCTGCTCTGCTCTGCTCTGCTCTGCTCTGCTCTGCTCTGCTCTGCTCTGCTCTGCTCTGCTCTGCGTGTTCGGTTTGTGTCTGTCCGACACCGGCATTTGTTTTCAAATGACCATGAACAGTAATTTACACACATCTGGCTAACTCCATAGGTATATGCGGGTGTTCCCAAAATAAGTTTAATCTTTAATAATATTCTTAATCTCGATGTAGTGCTAAATGCTGTCGGAATGCACCGGAACGAACGGCACTATCATAATATCTTCTGAAAACAAATGCCAGTGACACACATACACACACATCCCGGACATGTCCTTCACAATGCGCCTTCTCCTCGTTTTCCCATCACTGGATTATCCGTAAATCATACAAACAAAACCAAAATGTTGATTTATCTGTTTTCCCCTTTTGGTTTAAAAACTGAATAATGTCAGTTTTTTGGTTTTCCGCTTTTCCGCTTTTCTGAAAAAAGAAACAACGACACCGGTTCTTTTTTAAACGTTGTTAATATGTTTTGGATGCATATTGTTCTAGTATTTGTTCAGGCTGTTACATACAATTAGCCTCTGTTGCTACGTACCTGCTGGTGGTGAGTAATATTAAAATCAGTTCAAATTGACAACCGGTCCGCGATTTTTTTTTTATTGGATCTGCCGGTTCTTGGCACAATAAAGGTTGGGAACCCCTGTTGTAAGCCATCCATTGTTTTCCATCTTTACTTTTTAAAAGGATTCACCGCAGCATAGCACTGTCTTAACATAACGCTGAGGTAATGAGATAAACACTCACATTATATGCATTAACATTTTAACAATACCTTTAGGCACCAGCACAACATGTTCTGTAATAAAAAATGTAGTACTTATTTGTACTTTCAGTACCGTGTTCATCACTGATTCTTATATGCATCAGTCTGTGAGCACTCATTGTAGATGATTCATTCCTTTTGAGAAAGGCTTTTTAACCACAACTTGATTTTAACATGATTATATCTCAGAGACAGTTTTATCCCACAAGCCATAAGACTACTTAATGCCTGAGCTTGCACAAATTGTATTGTTCTTATTTTCTAAATGTTTATGTCTTGTATTTGCATTGCTGAGGAACCTGTGACCCAAGTTGTGTATTCATTATTTGACAATAAACCATTGAATCTTGAATCTTCTCCATTGTAATAATATAAAGATCCACAGCAAAGCTTCGCTCTATAAGGCAACGTTTGCCACTTTTTTATAAACAGCTCAAGGTTAGATAGGATTGACTAAAATTGCATTCCCCCAAGGACTTCACCAAAAGCTATTCAGTTATAAAGCACACATCAAAGTCAAGAAGCTGCATTGCGTCCTTCTTTATATACTTCTGTTGTTTGGCAGTACTTATTTTACTCCATTAAATGATCTAAATTAACACTATCTATTTGGTTAACTTAACATAATAACCAGACTAAAAGCTACAGATAAACCAGAATGCTTAAGCGTATTTTTCTTTAATACATGACACGGAAAACTTTCTGCTTGGCTTCCATCTCCATTAGCCTACATTTCAATAATTGATTTAATGAAAAAAACTTTGTCTGATCTGTTTCCACACTGAATCCCACAGCCCTTTCCTTTTTGGTTCTGGCTGCCCTTTCTTTTCCCACTGCGTTCTCAATGAGGCCAACTCGAGGACACATTTCCCTACCAATGGTCCAGAACTACGTTTCTTCATAGTAGATGTATTTTTCATACTTTTTATGTGTGAATCCAACAGGGGGTTCAACTTTCTTGAACCCCGACGGGGACTCTGGAACGGAGGCAGACAGCGAGCCTCAGCTGGCCTTTTACACCGACCCAAACCGCAGTCGACGCCGGAGTCGAGGTATGAGAAACGGTAACGCCAACAGCGCGTGGGGCTCAGGGGGTAAGGAGAATTCACCTACAGTCAGTTTATCCCGCCGTCAGATGGTTCTACCATCGCCATGACGCATTACTAGTAACCTTGACAATGCATAAAGCAGATGGAAAGGCACCAGTGTTGTATGTGTGTGTGCTCGTGATTTGGACTCCAAGGAAATTGTGGAGTTTGTGTATATGGTATGCTGTGTGTGTACATAGGTGTGTTTCTTAAAAGTGTTTGTGAGCATGTTACACTGCATCTGCATACAATCTTGTTGACTGAAATGAAACATGGCAACGAGATCAGAGGTTTTGGTGGCGACTATTTAGATATGGATTGCATCTCGTGACGTGAAAAACACTGTATCTTGAAATAATATTTCACACACGTATTATTTCTAAAGAGAAGACTGTACCAATGTGTCTAACTGAAGTGTTGTGGCACGCTTCATCTGTCAGCATGCCATTGTCCTTGCAGCTTTGATGTACATTAAGGGAGTGTGGGATACAGACACGGGGGGGATACAAAATAACGAGACTATTTTTTCCAAATAATAGCTGCTGTCAGAAGGCGTTACAAGCTTTCAAAGCCAATTACTCCACTGTCATGTGTCACAAACATGGCGATATCTCCAGAAGTTTAGCCAAACCTTTAATTAAAACGAAGCTTACGGAAATAATAAATTGGTTGCATTAGTGCCCTAACAATGTTGTTTACATCCAGAGGAAAGGAATGATTTGTGAGGCGTGATAGAATCATTTCCTTAAGTCATAGGGATGATGAGTGTGAGAATATCGGAATATTTCCCGTTTTTGTATGTAATGTCTACTCCAGGGAAATTCATTTCAAAAGGAGATATTATATCCTGCATACGGCTATTGAGTTCTTGATTGAATAAACTAGCTTTGTACATAATAGGATAGGTAAGATTTATACTTTGTTAAAGGATCCTGTAGCTCCCTCCAGTAATAGACACCAGTCATCAAGTCTTGATTAAAAAACACGGTTTAGTTTCATACCTGACCAACCCATCATCAGAACGAGAAGAAAAACAAGTATGAAAAGTTTAACTGTATGTATTTTACAATTTACTATGCGTATACCACTTAAGCTTGCAATATAAATAATGGAGATGGACATTTATAGCATATAACACGTCCCACAAGCGAACACATATACACAAACACACGCCTGTAACTTGCAGCTTATCTGAACAAACCTAATTGAAATTAAATAATCATACAAAAAGGCTGCCTACTAGTGAGAGTGGCTGGATTCTCAATACTGTATCCTGGAGTTATTTCTATCAACTTAGCTTGAGAGCTTTTTCCTGTAACACAATTCTCCTGTGCCTAGACTGTCAAGTGCACCAATTAATTGTTACGTGGCAAATGCTACACTGCAGATTTGTTCCGCCTCTAATAATGCTACACCTTTACAGGTATATTAACTGTAATTTGTGATTTAGAGCTGTTAGGAAATTAACTGAAAATGTAAGGCAGTTACACATCCCCTCAGGCAGCTTCTGAATGAGAAAGTTATGCTAAAATGTACAATGTAATCTAGACCTATTCTGCTACTGTATGAGCAAATAACAATTTTAAACAAAGTGAGTGGCTTTATTCAAGGTTAAATGTGTTGTATCGTGTGTGTTTGTGTGTTTGTGCTTGCCCCTGTGGGTCATGTTTAACACTTTCCGTGTTGCACTCTGGAGAAAAGAGATAAGGGACGCAACCTCACTCTGGCGGAAAGGGAGAGCAAAGGAAAGAGGGGAAGGTTGCAAAACAACCTCTGGACCATTTCTATTTAGGCCCATGTATCTTTTTCCCGTCGCATCCCTGCATGGATGTTAAAACCCTTCAAAGGTAAACCATATTGCTGGGCCAGCGAGCTATGCCTGTTCTAAACCTCCCAAAGGCTTGATGTTTTTGATCCACATGTCCTTTTCATGGACGCTAAGCCCCTTTTGTTTTAGCTTGTTTGTGAAATATCTCCATGTGTAATCGTGTGCGTATGTTTGTGTGGTTGTGTGCATGTTTCAGGGTATGTAGGGGATTAAAGAACGGTCACTGCTTCAGATATCTTTATCGTTTGTTGTTCCCACCTCTCCCCACTCCCTGCCTGTGCATTTGTTCCCAGCAGCAGGTTCCCCACGGAGTCCCATCAATAAGACCACCCTGACTTTGATCAGTGTCATCAGCTGCGTGATCGGCCTGGTGTACTCCTCTCACATGTCCTGCAGCATCGCAGTACGTGTGATTCTACACGTTCCAGAGCACCTCATCGCTGACGGTAAGTCTCTTCTCTCGCCTCACGGTCAAGTCTTCTCTGTTTTTTGGTTTAATTTCCCCACTTGAAAGGGACCTGAAGCATCTACATGACTTCTAACTGGATTCCACTCCAATGACACAGCAACTGTTACTTTGTCAGTCTTTTATTTCAGTAGTTTACTTGAAAAATCCATTTCCATTTAGTTGCCGCATTGGTCTTATAGGTGAACAACCTTTGAAGACAAGAAAGATGCATTAGACAACTTGCAATAGTCATTCAAATAAATAAAACATGCACACAATACACTGACACTGCTGCCTTATGTACATATATTTTACAAATAAACTGGGCAGACTAAACACAGAAATATTCATTTTAAATATGAAATCAATTCGCTAAACCCAAGCTTTTATTTTAAATCTCAGCAGATTTAATTAACTTGATCTTATTAGAAATGTTTTTAACAAATCAAATGAATTATGTTTAAGCAAGAAATATTCTTTACTCTGTTTTAACAGAAGTATTCAACAAATTAAACAGGACTTTATTATCAATGTTTTTAATAAATCAAATGTATTATTTTAACAAGAAAGATTCTTCCCTCTGTTTTAACAGGAATATTCAGCAAATTAAACAGGACTTTATTAGCAATGTAGCTGGACTCTTTCCCCATACATTTCTCTGGGTGCTCGATACCCCAGGCGACTGAGCTTGCATTTTTTCTGCCACTCTCCAAGGAGTTCTTCTCGCCATTTCTCTCAAACAGAGTGCCTGTGTTTCTCGTGTAGCTGGCCGATTTGCTTTGCTCTCTCTCAAAGACAAAAGTAAAATGCCAGGTCGCCCACCCCCTCCCTGTGTTTCCCATGTGAGGCCATACAACAGATGTGCCCTCAAAGCATCAGAGCACATTGAGGCCAGGTTGCAGTGACCACCCGCCGCACACCCTCCATCACTCTTCCCCTTGTACTTTCTGATATGTTGAACCACTGTGCTAATGAATTCCAATGTAGCACCTGAAGAAGAAAAAAAAGCACTGTGGGGGCCGAGCACTGGCTCCTGCTGGCTCTTTGGCATTTTTCAGCCGTCACACGAGTGAGCTGGGAGTCCAGATATATTATAGACTTTGACTACGCTCGCTCATCTATAATCCCGGGGTCTGATTTGATTCGTAGCACTGCTGCTTTCCGATGGTGTACACGGGCCTGCCAGGGAGATATTAACATTCCAGGGAGGTGTCCAAGTGGTAACTTTGAAAGGGGAGATGAACGATGGTGGATTCGCCTGTTGAATTACAAAAACTGGGATCGATTTAGAATGTTTCCATAAATGTCTCCACAATCTCATCACACTTTGATTTGATGTCATGGTGAATCAGATGAGTATCTGGATTCTACCACTGGGGAAAGAAGCTATTAATGCAAACAGCTGCGCGTGTGTCTGCCTGTGAAGAAAAAGCACATAACGTAGCGTCACACCTTTCCCCTCGCCTTTCACATCAGGTAGAGTAATCAATCAGGGGATGTTTCTACCTCTACTGCTATTCAAAATACATAACAAAGGACAGCACAAACATTTCTTTATGACTAACTCGGATTCTAAAATAGAAATGTGGGAATGGTTTATCATCGGTAATTGTATCTTTTAGAAATAGTTTTCCTATCTTTGTCCTTGGACGTGTCAATTTACATTTAAAATTAGGACTATTGAAGTCCCAGTTGCAGTGTAGCTCAATAATCTAATGCACACAACATCGAAGTGTAGAAGCTGGGGATTTCTGTTTAATGTCCTCCCTCTGGTGAAGGACCTTCATACCACCCGCCGCCAGTGATACCTACTGAATTTCAGTTTCTCAATCCCTCATTAAATGATGAAGGCTGTCTTAAATAATTAAAAGCAACTGATAAAGAGGGAAAACATACTTTCATGCTGTTCAAAACAATAACTGAGCCAAAAATCTACAGCCACGGTGCGGGCTTCATCAGGTCTTAATTAAGCACAATGTTAATTAGAGCTAAATGCTTACATAAGCATGTGCCAATGCTTACAGTGCCAATTTAAAAAATGAAATATATTTTGCAGGTTTAATATCTTTACTTAGGTTTTTTGTAGATATTGGTTAATAAACCCAAAAATAAACTTTGACCTGATGATGGACAAAGGTCACTAAAGTCATCACAATTCCACATCAGTGGAATACATGTGCCAGATGTAATGGCACACCCCACCTTCCTCTCCACACTGCAGGCATTTATATAGGTGGCTTAAATGACGTGGCCTCTTTAAACACCCCTCAGGGTTTGAGGGGAATGGCGTTGTCCAATTAGCTGGGCACATCTATATAGGCAGGTGGTGTTCATCAGCTCAGCCTTTTGAGCCTTTGCAACGTGAGCTGCAAGACACTAACAACAGGATTAACACAACACAATTAACAATAATTATTTTAAACAAGATTCCGTGCACTCAATCTAGTAAGAAAAAATAAATTAAAATGTGTCTTTTTGTGTGTATGTATAGTTTAAAACAAACGCATAACCTTTAACATGTGTGGTTGTTTGTGAGGCTTGTAGCCTTCACACCAACCATCCAGCAAACATTATCATGGAGCCACGTCACTAGAGCTGCTAAAAACATGTATCAATGGCCAAGAAATGTCTTCTTTAAATTCATATAGCAATAGTTATGCATAAAATAGTAGACACATTTTTTGTCGATAATACATTTTGCTCCATCTTTTGTTTTACTTTCACCTTATGTATTTGCTACAAATGGAAGAAGACTTTTTTGCTAAGACTGAGTCTTGTTTTTTTTCTTCCAACTGCTACCTTCCTGTGAATTCCCACTAGATAAATCATAAGAGTAAATGCCTACTATCCAGTACATTTCTGTTTTCAACATTCTTTCTGAATTTTGAAAAAGGGAGAGGTCAAGGTTCCATGAGATGGCCATACAGTGACAATACAGTCTCTCACTATTTATATTTTCTCTGTCAAGTGATGAATAAAGGCAAACATCACAAAACACAAATATGTTATTTCTACAGTTTAGGTCAAATACTCAATGCTTCATTGTTCCTTTCTTTTTGCCCATTATTTCAATGTTCATTTATAAAACATTGTCCAGGGATATTACATACCAACTCTATTCAGACTGAAGTGCTGTAGAGTGGTGCTTAAATCAGCTAATAAGCCACTCCACATATTATAGCCCCAGCGCGTGCACTACGCTCTGCATCAGCCAAACGACTCGCTGCACCCTCGCTGCGAGGGGGACCCAAGTTCCCATTGGCGAAAACACGTGGGTTTGCTGTCCTGGCTCCAAGATGGTGGAATGAGCTCCCCATTGACATCAGGACGGCAGATAGCTTGCACATCTTCCGGCGCAAACTGAAAACTCATCTCTTTCGACTCCACTTCGAGCGTTAGAACTATTAACGAAGCACTTTTATACTAATAAAGGGACTGGATTACCTAAAGCCAGTTGAGTAGCACTTGAAATGTTTGGCTCTATGAAACCTGATGTACTTATATGATTCTGTTTTCTTCAAGGTTGTATTTTGTTGGTCGAACGCACTTATTGTAAGTCGCTTTGGATAAAAGCGTCAGCTAAATGCAATGTAATGTAATGTAATAGCCCTGAAAGTCCATTCAACACGACATAGCCTCCTGTGAGATTCACACTTGAGATGATTAAGAATATCTGAATAAAGTTGGCTAAGGTATATTTTAAAGTGAACCTATCATGCTATATTTGAAACATATATTGTAGGGCCATACCTATATAAAGTATATACATTTTTTTTTTCTTCTTCAAAATACCTAACAGATCCTGCATTTTAGCCATGACTCATTTCGCTCCATTTGCTCTTTCCAGCCCTGTTTTTGCAGGGGGCTGATTCTGTGAGCTGCAACTGACCACGCCCCCCTGCAGGAGAGGGGAGTTGCCAGTTACTTTGGCATTAGGGCAGGGATATCTAGATACTTTCCAAGGTTTGACATAATGAATTGTGCTACTTTTAAAGCTAGCAACGATGTTTTCAAATCTGTAATCAAAAAGCTCCTCAAAAACACTATTGAAGCAGTTCCTGCCGTTGCTACGTTAGTTCAAACAGTAACAACGGACTGCTATTTTCTTAGCGGATGCATGTCAATTTAAATCAATACAACTATTTTTTAAATCAATAAAATCATTTTCTAAATCCATAAAAGCATTTCAATTAATATTGGGAGTCATGTTGTTACTTTGTTGAGAATGTGGCCATGTAATAAGCGTGTAAATAACACCTTCATGCATGTGAAAATAACACCTTCATGCCGATCTAGATCCCTCCACTTCGCGTCGGGCTCCTGATCACCCTGTCGGTGTTCTTTTCCCCATAATGACCGTGTCGCTGCACATTATCCCTTACATATGATTATATAGAGTAATTATTCATTTGTTTTAAAGCAGGAGGCGCAAACGCTTGCCTCTGGGAGGGAGGAAAAAAAGAGCCACAGTGGAGAATAAACAGAAGGGCAACCATGCAAGGGAAGTCTTCTTTGCTGCTTTTGTGGCAGACTACAGCGCCACTTACAGGCCTGGCATATGTACTACAGCGTCTCCAGCACTTTCGGCCGTGGCCCAACCTCTCATAGCGCCACCGTCCTGACGTCAGGACAGTGTTCAAATCTGTATCAGTCTGTATCAGATCCGTTGCAGCCCCTTTTTTAGAGATTTGGGTATGGAGGAAAATAGAGAGGGTTGTGTTTTCTGACACTTGGTGATTTCCCTGGAACACTGGAGACACATATTCATGTATAAAAGACGTACAAAAGTGCATCTTGCATGATAGGTCCCCTTTAAGTCTAATTTTCTTAATGTCAGTAAGTACAGTCTTTTTTGGATCCATCCACAAAGCATTTATGTTTAATATCAGAAATCCTTTTCATGATTGAAAAACACAAATATTGCATATCCTCGAGACATCAAACAGGACATTAAATGTGCCATCAAAAGTAAAAAAACATGATTGGTGTCTATAGTTTCAGAGTTTTTATGAGCAACTTTATGGCTCCCCAAGATTAGTCAAACGAGATTTGTCCGGCCAGTGCAGTGTGTGCTCTATTTTTAAGTGATCATCAAAGGGGATGGCACTAACTAGGGCACACATAGCCTGCCAAGTAGTCATTAAATATGCCCGGGTTAAAAAAGCCCAGTGCACCCCATGTTTTCAAACAGACAGGGCTTTGGTCAATGAGTGTTAATGCTAGTTTGCAAAGATCACACAGAGGATAACGATTAGGATAAATGATTAGCTCACCTGAGCCCATCAGTCTGACAGGAGAGGACCCTCCTCCAGCTTGTTGTGGAAACAGCTCCTTATGTCCGTTAGTGCAGCTAGCTAACCAGATGCTAACATCACGGTCCCCGCTAGCACCGGTCTCTCTCTCTCTCTCTCTCTCTCTCTCTCTCTCTCTCTCTCTCTCTCTCTCTCTCTCTCTCTCTCTCTCTCTCTCTCTCTCTCTCTCTCTCTCTCTCTCTCTCTCTCTCTCTCTCTCTCTCTCTCTCTCTCTCTCTCTCTCTCTCTCTCACACTAAATGCGCTATTGCCACACACACAGAGCCGAGCTTGAATGACACAAGCACACATGTATTTCCATGCAACTCTCTGATTGGTCTGGTGGCTTGCCTTTGTTGCATTCACTGAACACGGGAAATTGCATTCCTGCCGTCCTCTCTTGTGTCATGATGAGTTGCACGTAAAGCACGGTTATTATATTATTGAGGTGTCTCAAATATACGTCAATCAAGTGGCACCTGCTAACGGGGTGTTGGATGATAGGTTTACATCTAAAAACTTATTTTTCAAACATTATTATTTTTATTTTATTTTTCTTTCTTTTGTTACTTTTTTTTGTAACGGTCCGCGATCTACCCGCACCACACTCGATCGACTGGTTGGCGACCACTGTTCTAGTGTAATCGATGTCAGATACATCGGACAAACATATTCAGTCCTGTTATTTCCTTATTAATAAAGTAAGGCATGTCACAATGTTGAAAGTATGTAAGTCTCTTTGGATAAAAACATGCAATGGAATGGAATGTAACAGAATAATCTGCAGTTTACCTCAAATAGTCAAATCCCCGAATGTATGATGTATATTACAAAATGGAGCCTTTCTTCATCGTACATTTTTCAATTTATCAGAATATTTTTCTCATATGTACGGTACCCTTTACCATAGCTGAAACTAGGCGTCTAGTAAACAACGAGCAGATAAAATAAAAAAATAAATGTTTAACTAATCAAAATCTACATTGACTGGGCCCTTTCAGGCCGCGGATGTGTTGACCTGACATGGCAATGCAGCCCTAATTCCATCACGCTGCTTTATTTATGTCACAAGTGCCACTAATAATACACATGAAAAGATCACAGCGTAGGAGTGCAATTTGTGAGTGGATTCCTGGGGAGTTCTGGAGGAAAACAGCTCAGAAGCTGTTAATTAGTTGCTAGTGAAATTCTACCGTTATTACACACAACCACAGAGAAGCCTGAACAGTTTGAGGGGTACATTTTCTTATTGACACTCAACTTTAACCAAGTAACTATGCAGTTACAGTCACCAGGGCATGTGGCCAATTTAATCTGAGTACATCATCACCTTAAACATAACTGCATTAAACACGGACTGTAAAGTCATTGGCTCAGTAAATAACTCATCCAAAAGGAGAACAGACCATAACACAATTTCACACTGCACTGGTGGGAAGGACACAAAAATACATTGTTTATCAGTAAGGCCGCAGCCAAACAGAGTCCTTCCTGTAGTGCATTAGCTTACATGTGATTTATTCAAATTATGACACTGTCTGAACCATATGCCCTTTTAATTCTTGCAAATATTTATCCGAACACCATGGGAAATGTGTACACATAAAAGTCAATGCTCTATTTTCTTCACTGTTGCCTTCCTCCTGTTGCAAAGTGGCTGCCTGTGGTTACTGATAATAATCAAAATAAGTGTTAGGCTTTCTACAACAGGCATCGTTTTTTTAGAATGTTTCTCACAGTTTGAATATTTTTCATATTTTAATTTTGCAGCTGTCAATGTTTGTTATCTTGGCTGGATGTCAGCTCCTGCTTCAATGATAAGGAATAATAATTATTCATTTTCAGATATCACAGTTGTTGAGACGTTCACGGTGTTTCATGTTTGTTAGGCCAGGTTAATCTCCTTAGCTTATCAAATATTTACATTTTGGCTTACTAAAATATTTTATTTTGAAGGTTTTCTAACACTGATTCCTTATTTTCCCATTTGGATTTTGAGTGTATGATAATATTTTCCCTGCTGTCTTTGAATCATCTTAAAATAATTTTGCAGCAATGTCCAACATATACTGTGGCCGTGTCCTGATATTTGTAGTGAACGTTATAAATAAGTTATTTTCTTATTCTTGGCGGTTTTCTACAATCCCTTCACCTGTCGTGCATTTATTATATCCATCTCTGTCATTACCTCTCCCTGACTCCTCCACCCTTTACCCCTCTCTCCTCTGTCCCCCTCAGGATCAAGGTTTATTTTGCTGCAGGGGAGCCAGATGGACGCATCAGACTGGTTGAACCCGGCCCAGATCTTGTTGTATTACCAACATAACGCCAGTGGTCCCTGGGCCAACGAGCTGTGTGGACGCCGCCTCCTGGACCCCTGTGAGCACCAATGTGACCCTGAGACAGGTAAGCTGAGAACGCAATTTAAAGGTCACCTATTATGCAAAATCCACTTTTCCATGTCTTTGATAAATAAACATGTGTCCCCTCTGTGTAAAGAGATTCTGAAAGTTTCAGGAAAAACAATTCTCTCACTTTTTGTACTGATCCATTGATATAGAAACATGTCTGAAAATGAGCTGATTAGATTTTGACCACTTTATGATGTCATAACGATTTTTTGGCTTGTGTAACCATTAGACAATAACCAACCAAGGTAACACCCCCCCCCCCCCCCCCACACCTTATCACCTGAATCTCCTCCTACAGTAGAGCACCATTGTGTTCTTTTTAACCAAATATCTCTCAGATTTTCATCTAAAGTAAAAGTAACAGACATAGAATCAGCACTTTTGAAACAGAGGGGATTATGGGATGCTACAATGCACGATCTGTGTGGTATTTCGAGCCAAACACTTCAGATACATGATTTGTATATATCTGAGACCTATAATATATTGATGAAAAATAGTATAATAGGGGACCTTTAAAAGAGGATCAGCTCAGTATTGTACCGGGACTTTTCACATGGTAACCTTATTTATTTTTAGTTTAAATAAAAAAGGTCTCGCTTCTCTGGCTGTTGTGATCAGTCATGAAGAATAGGTGTAGTAGGTAAAAATGGTTGGCTTATATTTGTGGTGTATTTAACTAAACCAACAAATGAAGTAGGCTTTAGCATCTTAAACCTAGTACTTATATAAAAAAAAGCTACATGTACTACTACTTCTGCAGTTTAACTGTTTTACCAGATGGGGGACTTTATTATAATTCTGCTAAAAGGTTGTTTTAATATATAACTGACCTGTACATCGGATTTAATATTCATTGGAAGACATAACAAGGCTCTTTAGATACTTAAAGTAATCTGGTTGGCTGATAATGAGCAATATCGTCACAGGACCATTAGTCAAATTCACAAACCATGTCATTCTGCACTCGGTTATTGGACAAAACATCAAAGGCCAGTATCCAGTAGAGAAGAGTGGTAAGATACAGAAGGTGTTTTGCTAACAAAGATTGTACGACTAAAATGTGCAACTTTTTATTTACAAAACAAACTAATACTTATTGGCATACAAGTGAAATTGCACTTGTCCTTTATTCTTCAAGAAAGTACAGTTGGTCATTTAAGAGACAGCTTGTTCATAGCATTATATAACACAGTTTTGATGGTTATTTTCAAATTGTTTACGACTTGCCAACTTGCTGTAATAGGAGGCACAGGGGTTCAAGGTATTGTCATACTGAGTTCCAGTCCTGCAGACGGTCTCCAGAATTTGCAGTGTTTATCACTCATTGTGGCTGTTTGAAGGAGCCTCTTTCATTGTTTACTGGTGTGGCCATGACTAGGGTCCATCGAACTGCAGGCCTGAAATGGAAAATAGATTGCATGGAGCACTCCTTCTGACTTTCCCTTAGTCATTTGATCAATCAAATCACTCAATACAATTGGCTGATCAAATGACTACATGTAGACCAGTAAAAACAATTGATCCAATGGACCAATTCAATTAATTGATCAAACTGGCTAATCGAAGGACTTGATTCAATTAGCCAATTAAAATACTCTGTACAATAGACCGATCAAATGACTCGATACAAAGAATGGGACAACGATGGGACCAAATTGAACAACTTGATATAAAGCGCCATACATTTATATTAATGCACATAGTTTTTTCTTCAGCTTTTATTTTTCATCCTTTGTGAAAGCTTGAATTGTTTTTTATTTATTGAATTGTTATTGGCCCTTATTGCACAATAAAAAAGTGTGTTTGTGTTACGGCCACAGCCTCTACTCAGCAGTAGTGGCTCGCGCTGAGACCCGTAACATGAAAAATACACTCGAAAACCAGTACTTAGTAACAAACATTTATTATTATGCCATCTTCTTACAAAAGCCAAACTATAAATGAAAAAGGTCTGGAGGACTGGCCAATAAGAACAAAAGGAAGGATGGTGCCCGAGCCAGCCACACCAGGGGCCGTAGGACCCAGAACTCCCCCCAAAAGTCAGGCGTAAACCCTATTGAAACAAAGAAAGCCGTGAAAACTGGACTACCAGGTCCTCCAGGCTAAATATAAACACATCTACAAGACACAGTATAGCTCAAGCCCCACTATACCAAAAAGGGTCTTCAGAGGAGAGTGTCTTCCAGTGCCAGAAAAGGCGAGACATCCTTTTCTTCCAGCTTCTCTTTATATATCCGCGACAGAGTGGAATTGGAAACACCTGAGCAGAGGCAGACCAGGTGCACCTGCGCAACAGGGAGAGAGAAAGAAAACAAGGAGGGGAGCACGTAACAGTTTGAGTAGCATTATAATACAGATGAATGAGCAATGGGTTGGAGGGAATAGTCGATGTACTGTAATCTTGATGGCTTGACAGAAATGACTGATGAATTATGCTCGAGGCGTGTTGAAAAGCAGCATGTCAATAACTTTTGATTGATGTGGCATTATATACATTTTTCTTTGTGACCTAAAAAATGCAGATGAAAAGCAAATCTAGCTCAGCACAATATTCTATGAGGGGCCGTACAGGCCGTAATTCATACTGGTCCTCTCACGCACATACATGCTCCTTATGCATACATATATTTTCACTCTTAAACACATATATTCCCCTTTTACATACATACATTTTCACTCTCACACACGTATATATTTACACTCACACATTCATACATTTTGCTCTCATATTCATATATTTTAATGCTCATATTTATACATTTTGTTCTCAAGCACATTCATTCAATGTTTACATTTAATATTATAAATAATATATGGATGTCTGAAGACAATGTATGTATGCAAGAGAATAATGTATGTATGTATGAAGACAATATGTGTATGCAAGAGAAGAATGTATGTATGTGTGAGAGAAATTATAGTGGAAACAGAAGGCAGGTCATTATCGCGCTGTGATTGGCTTAGAACAGGGGTGGCCAACCCGCGGCTCTCGAGCCGCATGCGGCTCTTTGCCTAGTTTCATGCGGCTCTTCAGTTCATATCGAATTTTATATGTGTGAGTTTGGGGGAGAGACACTGACTCCTGAATAGTGTTGCACGGTGTACCGATACTTGAAAGGTACCGCGATACCCTGCCGTTAAAAACGTTACGATTCCTCCGTTTCATTAGTATCGGTACTTTAAGAATAACGGGGAAAAGTACTCCGGTGAGAAAGCGCCGTTTTAATAAGAGCCGTGTGTGTTCAGCGCTCTGCTTCCACTCCCTGCACTGCAGCCGTGCCTGCAGTCCCTCCCCTCTCAAGCACGCTCTAAGTCCCTCCCCTCTCAAGCACACTCTAAGTCCCTCCCCTCTCTCGTGCACGCGCTAGCTGCCAGAGCATGTGAGAAAACGAGAAGCATGGCTGCAAGTGGGAGTGCAACTGCCGCTGCGCCTCGGCTTGTTGACAAAAAAGACGCCAGAAGCGAAATTTGGAAGTATTTTAGCTATATTTCTGACAGTGAGGGCAAGCCTACGGACACCATGAGGCCTGTCTGTAAGACATTTATTAATTTTATTTAATACGAATTATTGTCATTTATTGTATTTATTGTTCTCATTGTTTAAAAGTGTGTGTTATGGTTATGGTTCTGGTGTGAAATAAAGCACAATAATTACATTTAAGACCGTTTCCCTTTTTTAAAGAAAATAATCGGAATCGCAATTCTTGACTTGGTATCAAAACCAAAATGTTGATATCGTGACAACACTAGCTACTCCTGACAGTTAAACCTGATATTTAGTAGGTCTGTTAAGTATTGAATGCTGATAATTCTGACGTAATTTGGCCGGTCAAAGTTGTTTGGGCTCGGATAAAATCGCTCCGTTACTTTCGTCCCGTGTTATGTATGTTGTGTATGTGTGGTGTCAGTATGAGAGGATGACAGCGCGTATAATTTGTATGTGGCCCAACAGCCAATCACAATAATACCTGCGATGCAGTGAACCAATCACCTTTGAGGGGGGGAAAACCTATCGTTGATTAAACATTATCCAGTGTTTCCCCTACCATTGTCTTGGAGGGGCGCTGCGCCCCGCCAACGGAGCCCCGCGCACCCCCTGAAATTCAAGGTGTTTAAAAAAAATATATATATAATTAAAAATATATATATATAGCCTATATAGCACCAAATTGCAAATAATCTATAACTACTGTCACTTTTCACATTGAACATGTGCTCTTTTATTAAATAAACTAAACGCTTTCATTTTAAGTTGTGAGTTTAGTGTTTTTGACCCTAAGAAACACTGATGCATTAATCAATAATCCACAGCTCCTCTCTCTGCTCCAGAGGATTTAAAAAATATATATCCCAATGCCACAAAAATGCATCAGTGACGTGGTTGAAATCTTGTCTCCAGTAAACAAAAAACTGAAACAAGCGGTATCAGTGACTGTGTGTTTGATGTGGCTCTTTGAAGTAACATAGAAAAAATGTGGCTCTTAACCTCTGACTGGTTGGCCACCCCTGGCTTAGAAGGTCGAGCGGGGCGGGCTCATGTTCAGAACTTCGGATTCAAATCAACACGATGGAGGGAGATGAATCCGTGTATCTACGGACAATTTGTTTTTCTTTATTAAAAAAGTAAATGGAAGAGCGTCTGAGAGGCGTTTTTGCCCTTTTGCTTTTTACCTTACTAAATGGTCTAATGGTCAGTGGAGCGAGGGGCCGCGAAACTCGCGGAAGTGATTTCAAAACAAAGGGCACTCGTTTGCTTGGAACGGTGATATTATAAGCAAGGGGAAACTAGGGCCGGGGAATTTAGCGATCACAACGAAAACGGACACACATTGAGCCCAGCAAATGAATGTTATTAAGGGCTGTAAATATAATAAGCCTCTGTCTAAAATGGACAACATTGTTAGGAGATTTAAACTACAGCGGTTCTGCACTGCGGTCACTCAACCGTCTCTCGAGTTTTTTTTCAAATCAGCAGCTTTTTTCCCCTGCTAT